ACACACTCCCTCAGAGTGTGGTGGAGTCTCCTTCCTTGGAGGTATTTATGCCGAGGCTGGATGACCATCTGTCAGGGATGCTTTGATTGGGAGTTCCTACATGGCAGGGGGTTGGACTGGATGGCCCTTGTGGTCTCTTCCAACTCTATGATTCTATGATTCTATGATTCTATGATTTGACTCACAATTTTTATATTTTTATATTTGGGAGAGAGAGAAAAGAAAAGAACATTTTAAAAGGAAAAGAAAACTGTCTGCTTGGGAGTAGCAGGGGGAAGGAAGATTGAGGGAGAGGACTAACACCACGTGACTGGCCAATGCTGAGACTGAAGTCCAGTCATGATCACACAGAATTCAAATGCTACAGCAGCAATATTGGCAGCAATTGATAGGGGAAACCTGTCAATGAAAAAGTATGCAATAGTCACGGATGGAGGACAGACCAGCTCCAGCTACCCACAGCTTCATCTGATAAGGTTCAGTCATAGACACATCTATTTTTTTTTCAATTGAATTGGACCTGCCATCTCTATCTTCTGAGACCCTCCTTGTATTTAACAGCCATATCACAGTCAGGTACAGGATAGTTCTCGCTGTACAAGAAATAGCTGAACTGGTTGCAACTCATCAGTTCCTGAAGAATTTAGCAAAAGTCTCAAATTTATTCATATTCAAGATGGAAAGTACTTGGCTTTTCAAAACTGCAGTGTGAGAGTTTTCCCATCCCTCTAATGCAGTAGAATTTTGCAACATAATTCAAACTGACTACATCTATTTAATCAGTCAAAACTACAATCTGATTGAAATGTGGATGATGATTATGACTTTGACAGTATTCAAAAAGGATAAAGAGGGCAAGAACTGAATATGCATACTTTTTATTTTTTTAAGTTTTTAACCCCTCTCCCTACATAATCCTGGGACCTTATCCCACGGGGCCAAAAGCAGCAAGAATCCACTAAGAATCAGGCGCTATAGCGCTATACATTCCTGGGTGATCACACGACGTCGCTCAGAATCGGCTAAGAATCAGGCGATATAGCGCTATAGTTTTCCGGGTGATCACACGACGTCGCTCAGAATCCGCTAAGAATCAGGCGCTATAGCGCTATAGTTTTCCGGGTGATTACACGACGTCGCTCAGAATCCAACAAGAAACCACTCGGAATGCAGCATCATTCGGGTTCTTTTGAATGTCGGTTTCAGCGGGCATTGCAATAGCGCTAGCTTATCCATAGCGCTATTATAGCGCTAGCGCCATATTTATACTAGCGCTATAGTACTGCAATGATGCTCATATCGCTTTCTTGCCACTTTTGAGAGCAGCGTGGGATAAGGTCCCTGGAAAAGTTAGCTCTTGGACCAAAATATATATATATTTGGATCATAACTGTGGCCATGCTGGCTGGGGGATTCTGGGAGCTGTGGGTTTGTCTCCATGCCCACTAAAAAATTAATTTTTCCAAGTTCTTCCCTACTCCACTCACAATTTCTCAACCTATTAGAAAATGATAGGAGAATCTACAGGCCACTGAGAAGCCAGCTCTCCTTCTACCAGAGGCTGGGTCCCTACTATGCATTCTTCCATAGTAAGGAATGTAAAAGTGAATCTCTACTGACACCCAGTGGGGAAAAATATATAAAGTGAACAAACACTTTTTAAATTGTCAGCTCTTTGGAGATCAAAGAGAATTTAAATTTTCTTGAAGGGATCATGGGTCATCTTCTTTGTAAATCCAGAAAGTGCTAGAGAACAAAGATCTCAACATCTCACTATGATGGCACAGTTACCAATGGCTTGTTGTCGTCTGGGTCCAGTTAATTTTAGATAAATTTGAGGGGGTGGGGTTGAAATATTAGCAAGTAATCTACATAGATCATTAACAAAAACCTTTCAGGCAAGTTAGCAATTAACAAAAAACAAGGCAGTCCTTCTTCTGTTAAGAAATCTTATGGTAGGAGCCTTTTCATGCCACACAATTAAGGCACATTAATATCATGTTAACTGCCATGCAGTATCCTATGGAATTGGGGGGGAGGGTGTTGCGGTTGAGAGAGGGGCCTTTACAATTTTCAACCAGAGCACTCCTGTGATGCCTCTGGCCAAACTACAAAACAGGATACCATAGGATGCAGGAGTAGATATTACAGTGGGAACATCATGCTCTCATTGTGCAGTGCGAAAGGGTCCACAGTATGTGCTATATGTACAGACATGAACATTATCTGAATGTTGGCAACATTTTTGCTCCAAGGGGCTGCATGCAGAGACAGGCAGTGGGCCCAGGGGCAGTATAGACATGTATGCATAGCTGCCCAGCCTTCATCATTGCCCACAGCTGAAACACGTGCACCTACTGCCTTTCCTTGCACCTTCAGTTCTCAGAAACACCTTCCCCAAATCTAAGACCCATTCAAGCTACTTTATTATCACACCAGGCTCATAAGCCACCACAATTGTATTAGTCTAGGAAACACAAGCATATATGGTTGAGGACAATCATTATTGCACAGCTCTTCCAAGTTGCCATGGTGCTGCTTGTATTCCAACCTCTGCCTTCCACACACATCACTTTCCACAGCCCTGCTTCTCTGCCTTATTCCCTTCCCAGCATGCCTTTGTATTTACTTTTATTTATTCTTAGTGCAATTGTGTAAGCATGGCAGTCAATTAAGTAAAAAGAAAAGAAATAGAGGGAAATGAAAAGATCTTGTTTGGAAATATTGGGGGGAGTGGGGATGGGAAGGAGCAGAATCATGCCCCCTCACACCAAATGACTGCATGCATATTGGAACTGCTCCAGGAGGAACCTATCACACAAGCATCAACACTGGAAAATCCATACAATTGGGAGGTGTTGATGAATTTTGTCTGTCAGAGAGAAGGAGCTCTCCAGCAATGGATGGAACAGAGACCAGCTACTGGACAGACACAGTATTGTGTGAAAAGGTACAGCCATGGATGCAATTAGCCTGTTCTAATTCCACATTTCAAGATTCATGCGATAAAGTCCTACACAATTATTTTGCTATTATTCCACTTTAACTGCCATGATTCTATTCTATGTAGTCCTAATATTTACATTTTGGTCAGAGACACTAGAGGAGCTCTCTGGCT